CCGGGCAGATGGAGCTCATTAGCCCTGTAAGGCAATCCATCTACGTCCTGAGGACCTCGCTGCCACCGTCCAAGCGTGCTTGGCCCCGGCAGATGAACCTCAGGATTAAAGGGTGGGCTCAGTTCCGCGCACACTGTGTCTCACCTAAAAAATCCAATGCGCAGGCTGGAAGGTGTAAAGACCTTCCCCAGATCTTTGTTCGCGAAGACTGGCCATATGTATACATTTCTGTAGTAACTGTATATGTCAGAAGCAGAACTTGAAATATTCTACTTTCAAAAAAAGAGACATGAGAAATCTGAAATATGAGAACATTTTCTTTGACAGATTTTCCACTGTATTTTGCTCAATACTCAGAATTATCTAATTTAATGTTCCATTTATCACTCATAAGATTGGAATGCTGATATTTAATGCTATTAAGAAGTTTTAATTTGAAAACATTTCCTTCCTCTAGATGCCATGAAGCCATTTCTACTAAACATGTAGCTTAGGGAGATGCTTAATTAAATCAACAGCTTGCTTTCAAAAGGAAAGTGAAATTTCATAATGGAGAAATACTAACCCTTAATCACCTCTTAAAAATTTCAGCAGAAGCATACTCAAAATACTCATGTGATACTTTCATCTCTTCTTCCTTTGCCCCTCTAGAAAATATTTTTTTGGGGGGCGGGGGGCGGGAAGGGGTTTTGGTTTGGTTTCTCTTGGTTGGTTGGTTTTGTGGTGTTTTAGTTTTGGTTGGTTGGTTGGGGTTTTGTTTTGTCAAAAAGATTAAAATGGATACTAAACCAGAATCTTTATATATGGTTTGATCATACACAGTGAAGAGTAAGAATAGCTCAGTAGGTACCAGAAAAAGCCAGACCGTAATTTGCTGCATTTTAAGTACACAAGTCATTCATACATAAAAAAACCATGCAAACCATAAAACCCAAACAGGCGTAACTTTTGCAGATTCTACAGTGTAATAAGAAATACAAGGTATAGCAACTTTAACTGGAAAAATCCAAAATTAAAAAAAAGGAACAAATGCAGATTACTTATCAAAATTGCATACTACACACACACACACATATAATTTGTATAGAACACATATATGCTTGTATATGTGCAATAATCTTTTATTATACAATAGACAGTTTGTTAAAATATCACCTTGTTAAAATGTCACCTGGTATCCATCTGAAACCCTATGGTTAGCTTCATTTTAGCTACATGATATCCTGCATACTGTAATAATCTGAAAATAAGCCTTAGAATGCTACTGCCTTTTTCAAGTTCTTCTGCAGTGCAATTATGACGTATGGTAAATGAAAATAAAGTCAGCAGATATACTGCCTTCAGTATAAAACAGAAGTTTAACTGAAACAACAGTTTTATTTATTATTTAAATTATGATTTAAAGTGTAATACACAAAATATAATGGACAGTTACAATTAAGCAATAGTAGCATACCTCTAAGATGACTGGGTCTTCTGTATTATCAGAATAAATATATTAAGTTTTTGGTATATAGAAGTTCAGGGTGAATATTTCATTCAGAAAAGTCTGCAGAAAGCTCCATAAAGCCTGTTATAGTGCAAAGGTCAGCACTGAACTGACCTCAAAAATAACTACAGCTTTGGTTCAAGACTTCAAAAAATTCCTTTTTTGTCTCCCCTCAAACTCAAAAGGGTAGGAGATGACATTAATACCTTGCAGTGTATCTCTTGGATAGATCCGGATATTGAGATGTATTTTATACAGACAAAGCTGAAATAAGACTTCACGTAGTTGAAAACAAGGTTACCTTTAGTTTTTTAACTTGAAATACTTCACAGAAGCCTGACACTGTGTGTGTACATTTCTTGAATTCTTGGTGGAAATTTTTATGTTGTGTGCCACAGACACTGAATGGGCCAAGAATTTTTCCACACTCATTTCCTGCATTCAAAGTTTGTACAAAAATATAAAGCCTTGCCAGCCTAATGCATGGAATTCATTACCAAGTCATCTGGTAATGAATTACCAAAATAAACACTTGTTTTGCTCCTTCACTGTGTACCCAAACCTCTGACCCCAAACAATTTTTACCACATAAGCTGGTTTGCCAATGATATGCAGTTAGTCAAATAAGAGGTATTACCTGAGACTCTGCCTTTTCTGTCTGTAGAAAGGTGATGTCAAATATGCTCCAATTTCTGTCTCCAAGCATGTGACAGCTCTACACTGCAGCCAGTTTTATTTTTATACCAACACTATAAA